GAAACCTAAGAATGCTCCTCAAATCACTGGAGGTCTATCAGCACCTTGGGAAGTCCTCCCAACTGGAAAGGTGCTATATAATGCATTTTGTTGTTGTTGTCAACAAATGTGAAGTGCTATGTTATACTTCTTAAAACTATTTTGTGCAGAATCAGAAGACACCTATTGAAATGATAAGATAAATATATGCTGAGAAAATATTTATGGAACACCACAGCTCCAATTCTGTTGGGACCATAGATGTCTAATGCAACCCAGAGAAGGATTGAGTGGTACGTATGCTTGTTAGATTGGCAGAATAGGTTGAGAAAATGTTGCTGAATCCTAGAAAGAGACAATAGCAGAGAGAGAGAGGGAGGAAACTGAAGATGAATCAATCTCATGAAGATGTGATTGGGAGTATAAATGAGAAAAGAGAAGGAATACTATGGATGGCTTTGATCAGCTTCAGACCTGTGCACATACAGACTTACTCCATCAGCTTGCCATGAAAGGCAGACAGCTATTGACATACGTTTTGATTTGATTGCCCTGGGGGAAGGAGTCTGGGAGTCATTTCGTAGAGGTTTTGCTTCTTGAAGGTTTCATCTCTGGTTATTCACCTCCCTCAGGATATTATAGAAATAAGAGCGAGTCAGTAGCAGTACGAACTGTATGTGGTCCATTGGATTGGACAAGCTTGATGGACTTCATGTATTTTTTCATCCTTTTGTTAATTAAGGGAAGTGGCTAAGCCTTGGAAAGGATGAGATAAAAAAAACTTGAAGAACGCTACTTTAGCCCTATAAGTTTTAATTAATTGGAATGGAACTGCACCTATTGCAGTGAATTCAGACTCATCTGAAATATTGCATAAAAAATGGTTAGATTTCCAATTCGAGAGAAACTGGAGGGGTGGAAGTTATATGCCAATGTAGGTGGCAGATTAAAATGATTAATGCGAGTCTGAAACATGCATCTAAAGATAGGTTAAATGTCCTTAACTTGCTTCAGAAGACTTATGAAGTCTTCCTTTGTGATATGTAGAGGCCACATCCATCAGTGTAAAAGACTGAGATTGTAGCAGTCTTTCATTAGAAAGTGTAATTCAGTCTGAGAATGTAAAGTGTCCTGTTGAGTCGACTCTTTACTATAAATGAGCTTAAACGTCCTGCTTTCTACATTTCAACAAAATTTGTTCAGTGGCCGTGAGCCATGTCTTGAAACCGAATGTTGCTAGAAATAGTTCCTTGCTATTTTACTACTTATTTCATGTTTTATTTTTGGCGAGTCAATGTAATTTCAAACCTATATGATATGCATGTAAAGTAAATGTCATTCAATAGGAATTGGAGCAAATGAAACCAGTGATGAGAGAGCAACGTTCATATATGACAATAGCAATCACAATGCGGTGTTGTTCTGATACCTTCTGAAGATTCATGTCTGTATAGAACTGTATCAGTCACATTGGGCTTGACCGCATCTTGTTGGATAAGACAAATCGATATTTTTTTTGCTCAGTCGTGTGTCAGACACCTGCAGCCACCCATCACCAGGCTCGAGAATCCCAAACAAACTGATAATTCAATGCATCCCACCTATACATAGAAATTCCAAAGATCCGATTTGTTGGAATGGAATGCGCACTCTCTCTCTGGAGAGACAATCCCAGTTACCCAATTCTGGGAAGTATTAGGCACAAGTTGGCAAGAATTCAGAGCATTAGGGGTACTGTTAAGAGTTTAACCAGCAAAAACGCATAGCTTGCCATTGATAGGACTGTCTGGCAAGATTTTTTACTGCCCCTGCCCCCAGTGACTGGTCTGCCGTTCCAAGCCCTGCCGATGAGCCAACCTGATTGTGCTATCATCAGCAGGGCTCTGAGTATTTCAAATGTTTAACCAGGTTGGGTTTCCATGAAAAAGAGGGTTACAGGTTGGACATTTATGTAAATGGCTAGAAGACGTGAAAAGCGCTATATCAAATGCAAGGATTATTATTATTCAGTAACACTGTTACCACTATCACACTGAAGAGAATCTTCATGGCTGTTTGTACGACATTGCTTTACCAGATATCTAGTAAAGTGTTTAAGACATCCTACTCACATGAAAAGCACAATATTAATTGTATGGATTATAATCATTTTTAACTGCGTTGTTGATTTGATCTTTATTTAAAAGTCTGGGAGAAATGTCCAAATCATCTATTGATAAGCACTGATGCTTTATAAGGTCTATTTCGCGTTGGTAACTGCTCCTTCATGGAAACATTGTAAATGAGCAAGTTATCAAAAGTATGGATTTTTGTATACTGGGTCATTAAGTAAAACTCCATGATTGGTAGAAACCCATTTCAGTGATCATCCATTTTTTTTTAATGTTCATGAATATGTGTTTGGAGTATTTTCTAAAATAACTAAAATAAATCCAATTGCAATATGTAGGACCGGACACAACCAAGAAGAGACAGCATTATCATTGTTATCATTCTGACTGGTTCTAGAATTGCAATGCTATGTTAGAGTTTACACACGGTTTAATTTATTTACTATTTGTGTCTTATCTTTCTTTATTCAGTCTATGTTTTGGGTGAGGTTTTGTGTAGTACACTACAGTAAAATTGAGCAAAATTGATGTTGAAAGTGGCTGTGACCCAATTGTTGACTTTGAACATTGATTTAAATGAACTATTCACAAAGGGCAGTCAGGTAATTGGGACATTTGCTCGCTACAGACCTGTCCCATTAACCTTCACAAAGTTTTGGTGACTCTTTGAACACCCTTTAGCATCTATAGCTACTTAATGTACACGATTATGATTTTTAAGGTAAAGTCTTTATAAGCCATAAGATGTCAAGGGTATTATATAAAAAAGTATAATGTAATATCATTGCATGGCATAGCACAAAATCTTAGGCCAATACTAAATGCAAACCTAATGACAAATAGCATAAAAGAACCTTGGAATATGAGTGACGGATATCAAAGTGAACAATAAATAGGAAATTTGATGACAATTGCTACCAATCAGATTGTTCAAAGGGCACAGATGGACTCCAAATATATTCTAAGCAGTTTTTTAGGTACCCACAGAAGCTTTTATAATACAATCACACCGCTTTGCAAAATGAGTTTATTTGCTGTAAAACAAATTTGAAGGGTTAAATAGCACTTATTATGTATTCATGCAGCAATGCATTGCGGTTTGATTTGTAACAACATTTAAATTTTGAATAATTACAGTGCATTGCTTACAGTCTTGGATTTATACCTGACTTACTTGACTAGTTTTGGTATCAACAGTTAAAGAATTGAAGAGCCATTTTAATGTTCAACATACAAGTAAAAGTAACATAGCAAGGACAAATGAGTAGTAAACAAAAGGGGAAAAAAAAAACTCAATAATATATAGGATATCACAAAGCCAGTAGGAAAACATACTTGGATAGATTTAGTAGTCTGTAAGTTTTTGCTTTAATACTATATAGGAAGGTAGGTAATTTTGTGTTCAGGGGCTGCATTTATCAAAAATGATGATGATATACATAATCGCTTCCATATCACAGAATGTTCTTGGTCAAAATTGGCTGGAGGCAAGTGATATCTTCGAGTAAACAGTATATGAAGACCATATCTTAAAATGATAGATCACCTAATTTTGTTCTGACAGAGGTTTTTGCCGCAACAAACATCTGTCATTGAAACACCAATTCAGCGATGTGGAAGCCAAATTGTAGAGGATGTTTTTTGTATTTGTCAATCCTACTCAGAAGGTTGCTGATGTCAATTACCAAGGAGTTACAAAGGTAGGATGGAAAATCATGTGACTGTTTCGGGGGAAATGGTAGAGAAATGCATTGTTCTGTAAATTCAGGATAATTTTTATTCTTGCAGAAATATACTTGGAAATGCCCAATAAAGTCTTCCATTTGTAGCAGACAGAGCTTAATAAAGCAAATATATGCCTTTGTTTTTTTACAAAATAAACAGCGATATGGCTGAATATAATTCTGAAGTGTTGTTAGGTTAACTGTCCATAAAATATTTCCAGAAATAAAGCATTTGGAGACATTTTTAAGTGGTTGCTTTTTCTTCATCAAATATTGGTCAGTTTTTTCGCCTTTTTTTCAAATTGAACAATCGTGAAATGCTTGAGAATGTTAATATTTTGGGAGCGTAGGAATCTACATTGATATAGTAATTTTATCTCCTAAAGGTGTTTCTCCAAATCACTGTCCTGAAGACATTTCATACAATTTGTGGATGACTGGTTGATAAAGTAGCAATAATTTTACTACAATCCAAATAGTGACTAGGAAAAAAAATCTTCTATATTAGGATGTACAGAGAAGTTGAATGTTTTAGTTAAAAAGCCAGGAGAAAAAGGGGTTAAAAAATCTATATGAGTGATGGATCCTGTTATTAAAGTAAAGGAAATGTGCATGAATGACATATTCTTTACACACCTCAACTGTCAACATTTCTAATCAAATCATCCACTCTTCTTGCTCTTAAGTGATACATGCAATATACCCTGTAATAAACACCCCCAAGTCTAATGAGAGCCCCTAAGGCAACTTCAAATGTATGAATTCATTACAATTGAACAACATAATCTGCAGGGCAAAGATGACTGTGATCTAACCTCTTTACCTCACAAGGTTTCGGTTTCAAGTGAAAAATGTTGTACATTTGTTTACAATGTATTGCTGCTGTATGAAGTATTGTTCATTCCTGTAGTACATAAGACGGGAAGGCTTAATGGAAGAAAAATCAAAGAAGCAATCTTTCATTTTGTTCTTCTATGAAAAATTCAAAAGACTGAAATCTCACCCACGGAAATTTTGCAAGCATATTATTTTCCGATGTTCAGATCAATTTGTCTGTCAACCATGCTGAGAGGTGGAAGGGCCAGTGAAAGCAATTTAGCTTGTGAGGTCCTAAATAGAAATGTTTTAGAAGACCTTGTCACATGTTATGTTTTTTATATTACAGTGTTTTTTTTATTTTCTGCAGATATTATGAAGCAAAATTGATATCAATCATGTAAGTCAACTATAACCACTCCACAAATATTACTTTTGTACATATGATTCAGCGAAATTATTTGTAAATTAACCTTTTGCCCAAATGTAAAAAAGCTGCAGACTTTTTTTAAAAAAAAGCTGCTGGTCAGGTTGTTTTCATCTGTTTGGCAGACAACGCTGTGCATTTTAATTTATTGTGCCCAGGTGAATTAAAGCAGTTTTGCATTTAGTTCAGTATTTTAAGTGACTTCATATAAAGCCTTTGATTATTTTGTTTCTCTGTAGTCACTGAACAATATTGTAATACTCATATACAGTACATTTGCTACATTTGGCAAGTTTCAAAGTGAGTATCAGACATTACAGAATCTGAGACTATTTGTACATTTATATGCATTTATTTTGTGTGAGCGTAGCTGGATTTAAGCATAAATGTAATTATTTTTATATTTGTCAATTTTAAAAAAGTATGAAACTGGGTCACACAGGAGCACCAACAATACAGTTAGAATGGGAATTAACGTCTACATCCAGCCCCAAGAACAGACTGAGAATCTTCAAATTAAACCGATTCAGGTTTTATCTGGACTTAGATGGTGGTAAACTAAATTGGTACTGTTCAAGCAACTTTCAATGAGGGACTTGGTAATTGGTGCCCTGCATAAATAAAGTACATCATATTAGTCTTGTATCTTTATCATTATATCTGATGGCAATCCTATGGGAATAATTACAAAATGTGGGGATAGCTCCAATATTCAGCATGCTTCCCAAGAAACCTTCCCTACCCTGGTTTTTAAACTCAGCAAATGTGCCATTTCATTTTCCATCATTACTGTTAAACAATATCACCAGGCTTTTATGTATTAACAGGGCACTATTTTCATTAAAAATATAGTTGGCAAATAACTTTATTGTCAGGAAAAAGCCTATAAAGAAAGAATAATGCATTTGGATGCCAATAAGTGTTCTTCTTTCATTCGTTCATTTTGAAGCACACGCTTTAATTTATAACAAACGTAAAGCTCAGCACTTCTCTCTCTCCCTAAATCTGCTTTGCCCAAATTGGCTGCCATGTTTGCCTGTAAAATGTACAGTCACCATTTTTGTACAAAATCTCGTGGAGTGCCTTAAGATGTCTTCTTGATGTGAAAGATGCTTATCAAAGACAAGGATTATTATTATTATTATATAAACAATTTGTAAATACCATTCCCCTTTATAATCAGTATTGCTAAATTCAGGAGGAGGGAGAAATTCAGTTAAGTTATTCTAGCCTGCTTGCTGCCCATGCTTCCTGAAAGGTGTGTGGCCATTATGAATGCTTTTCAGAGGGGGTGGGGGGGGGAATGTATTTAAACAAAAAATAGCTGTAATTTGCAGTCTGAAATAAAGAGGTGATAGTGATGTTCTGCATAAACGATATTTCTATGGTAGCCATCTTTGATACCTTTTGAGTCTTGGAACACATGCATCTGATGCTAGAGTAAAATTACCCATTCTCATTCCACCTTCAGGATTTTAGATACAATCCCTGACCTAAACTCAACCCTGACTCAAGCAGAATATTTATTGGGATTCAACTGCATTATTTATGTATATTTTGTAGGTTTTTTTTGATAGTGAAATTGTGTAACATATGAAAGTCCAGGAATTTGCAGGGTTACCATGATGTGACTGGTGCAACATAGTCTGAATTCACTTTCTTTTAATTTGAAAAACCTTAATTTGAGTCTACCAACAAAATGCAATTGAAATTCTCCTAATTTAGTGTACATGAGGGTCACTAATGAATTCAGCTCTTGAATCTCTGTCCAGTACCCAGTAGGGATGAACTCATCACACTTCCTTATTCATCTGCCTCATCCCAGAGGTGTTCAGGAAGAGTGCTGAAAATAGAAACAATAAGTTTGTAGATTATAGATGTTTATCTTAAGGTAGGCTTGCTGCTGTTGTGCCAGGACAATGCCTGGGGAGCCCACTATTACTCTCTTACTTGACAATGCTTAGGACTGCCAGAATTCAAATGGGATAATGTTTATTACTTTAGTACCGGTACACCATTAGTTCCTCTTAACGAGTACAAAGATTGAATAAAATCATGGTGCTTTCTACCTGCAACCTTTCAAAATGTGAAGCTTCTGGGTTTTACATGAACTAAAATGCGTTATACTGCATTCTCATGAAAATAGTTTCAGCATTTTAATGATGAATGCTTATTCCAGGAGCTACTGCTGTAATTTGATTTCACTTGTTTTTTCAGCTCTAGCACCTTGCCAATAAAGGAAGTATTGTGCCAATGGAAAATGACAGGTCACATACCACAATGTGACTGAAATGGGGAGTGACCAATAGACTAGAATAAGAAGAATAGAGAGTTCAGATCAGAAAATAAATCTGGAGAAGATTGCATCAACAAATCTCCAAAATAGGACACATAAGATCCAGTTGTGGGTCAGCTTGGTACAGTGGCAGGACTCTTGCTTCTCAGTCATAAGGCTGTAAATTCAAACCTCACCTCAGGACTTGGAATCACATTGTCTAAGCTGACGCTCTAATGCAGTGCTGGGGGGAGTGGGGGGAGGGTTGTTGCATTGTTGGAGGTGCTGTCCTTCGGATGAGACGTTTAAATTGAGGTCCCATCTGCCTGTTCAGGTGGACATTAAAGATTTCATGATACTATTCAAAAAGAGAAGGAGTTTTTCTCGGTGTCCTGGCCAATAATCCCCCAAAATAAAATTAGTCACTCACACCATGGCTGTTTGTGGGAGGTTCCTGTGCGCAACTGGCTGCAGGATTTCGCCCACAAAATACAGTCAATCCACTTTACACGTATATCCTGTGAAGGGCTTTGAGACATCTCGATGATGTGGTAAGGCACTCTATCATATGAAAGGATTATTATTATTATTGTTCCTTTCAGGTGGTCTTGTCTGTGAGATAATGGGGCAGTTAAAATTTGGCTCAATAAAAAAATTATAGGAATACATTCCTATTAGAATTTGTTTTTTTATGTAAATGTTTTTAATTTTTTTAAAACTTACACCTTTTCAGCCAGATATTCTGGAGATTTGGACTTCCCATTTGGCACTTCTTCCTTTGTAGTGCAACCAAACCATAGCTGGCCACTTAATTTAGACACGATTTAACAGTAGATTTAGCACTATCATATGCTCACTGGGATTGTGATTTTTTTTCACCCAGATATATTTAGAACAGTAACTTTGAAGGCCAACTGAGGGAGAAAGCAATGCCCTGAGTGTTTAACATTACATTCACTGCACTGTACTCATTAGCCAGAATTAACTGAACATTTGTTCCAGATAGCACCATTATTTCTGCTAGATCAAGTTTCTGGTTATAAATTATTTCATTTCTATCAACTAGATCATAGATTATTTTACAAGATGTTCTTGACGTAATAGTTAGAACTTGGTAGTGCATACAGAATGTTACATAGGTTATAAAGAATGCCAATTTCAGTACTCCTTTTTTTAAAAGAGACCTGGGGCCCAATCAGTAACAGAGGTCTGCTTAAATGTCTTCAATGTTTTATTGACCATATGGTCTGCTGCTGTTCTGAGAGGTGAGCATGCTTTTAATAGGTTAATTTACACAGAGCATAACCTTTTACCTTCACCAGAAGGAAATACATAAGAAAACTTCCATTCCAATTCTGTGGGGGGGCTTTCTGTGGTCTGGTAGCCAGGTGAAGGCAAAGGGTTAAGGAGGGCAGTTGCACAAGGCATTGCTCTAGGCAAATATGCTCATTATTGCATTCAGTGAATGGTTGGCAGGTATTCACAATTTACTCTTGTTGCTCTCTGTAATTTGGGGACTATAAATGTACGTGGTGTGCACTGACATTTTACTGATACAAATAAACACCATCTACAGATTATACATTCCTGCCATCAGTGTCTATGAAATGATAGCTTTTTTTTAATGTCTAGTAAATAATAGTAGTATTGTCCTAGATTCATATTTCAGAGGTGGAAATTCCCAATAGTTCATTGGTCCGTGACCAATAGAAATCCCTTCAGACCAACAATTAATCAGGCTCTAGTGATCCTTTGACCAGTTACAATTGCAGCTGTCACATCATTGAAAAGTCAAGACCTGGCCTTACCTAATAAAAATCCGCTTGATTTGTCTTGAGTGCAAAACATATTTTTACACCCTTAACCTAAAACGGAGTCCATTCCTTTGTGTACTGCAGTGATACACACTTAGCATTCTACTGTAGAAGCTTTATTGATAATTTGAGTTGATCTGTCATGGCTTGTAATGAGCTGTAGATTTTCAAACTTTTGATTTAAAGGCTTAAATGTGCGCATTACCGCATTCCTGTCCTTCATCCATAGTTTTTATAAGGTCACCTTTGATTTTTTTTTAGTGTAGGTGCGTGCATTTTGGATGATGTTGTCGCTGAATTTGAATCTTTGCAAATCACTTATATTAAAAAAAATGCATTTGAGGAGAAATATTTTAATAAAAGGTATGTTGCATTGCACATTTGCCAGTCTTTTCTGTGCTGCTGAACAACATTTTCCAAGTGAGGAATAGGAGAAGGAGAAGGGGAGGGAGAAGGAGGTGGGAGAACAAAACCGTGAACTAGCTGTGGTTGATAATTTCTGACGGAGGTAGTGGTGAGGGTTTTGCTTGACACCAGGCTATATAAATCTCTTCTGATTTTCTGCACATTGTTTTTAGTTAATGATTTTCAGCTGTTTGTTGTTCGTCTGATTGCCTGAAAATGTACCATATGCTCCGCCAAAGACAAATGATTAGCAAATGAAATTCTGGACAGCTGTCTGACTGAAAGCTTTGGTTGATAGCATTCTGCTATCATAATTAGCTTAAGCTTTGGGTTAATTAACTTCCTACCTGGATATGCATAATAATAGCAAACTCCAGAAAGCGAGAAGCTTTGAGTACATCAACAACATTGCTGTCTTTTTATTTGGTATTTCAAGAGCATATTATAATTTCAAGAGTGATTAATCCTGGGAATATTGT